CTTTGCATTGTTGTGTACTTTGCTGAGAAGCCCTGTTAATCTGTGATCAGCCATCCCTTTAAATTTCCTATCTGGATTAATACAACCCACAGATAGGAAGGTGAGATAGTAAAAATAGCTTTTACAGAAACTTGGCATTAAGAAAGGGCCAGGTACAAAGAAGCTGGTCTTAATGCATGCTGTCTTCTTACAGGAAGGTATGGAGGGTCTACTGGGAACCCTTGTGCAGCTATTAGGGTCGGACGACATCAACGTTGTAACCTGTGCAGCTGGTATCCTGTCTAACCTTACTTGCAACAACTACAAGAATAAAATGATGGTGTGCCAAGTGGGTGGCATTGAGGCTCTTGTGCGTACAGTTCTCCGGGCTGGTGACAGGGAAGATATCACCGAGCCAGCTATCTGTGCGCTCCGTCACCTCACTAGTCGGCACCAAGAAGCTGAGATGGCGCAGAATGCAGTGCGTCTCCATTATGGACTTCCAGTGGTGGTTAAACTCCTGCATCCGCCATCTCACTGGCCTCTTATCAAGGTAACAGAATTCAAAGTATAATCCTGTCTTCGGGGGTGGGAGAGGACGGAGGGAATCCAGTTGGACTTTCAAATGCTGAAGCGAGGTTTTTGAGTGCCTTGCAGGATGTCTTAAAACTTTCTAACGGCCTTCCTTGTAATTTCAGGCTACTGTTGGTCTGATCCGCAATCTTGCTCTCTGTCCAGCAAATCATGCTCCATTGCGTGAACAAGGTGCTATTCCAAGACTAGTCCAGCTGCTGGTTAGAGCACATCAAGACACCCAACGCCGTACGTCAATGGGTGGCACACAGCAACAGTTTGTGGTATGTGACTCTTAATGAAGAATGGCAGAAATAAGTGCAGCAGGATCTCCTTTGTCTAACCAAAAGCTTCAAATAATGCAATTACTTGTCTTGCTTTTCCTGCTATTGTGTTAAAATACTGTAGGCGGCTTACTGCTGAGACTGATTCTGTAATGGCAGACAGGAAGAACTTACTGGTAGACGTCTGTAAGTGTTCACTAAACTTCTTGCCATACCTGCTATTCAGGGAGGGATACATTATTCCACTATAAAGGTGGTTTTAACTCTCTTATCTCTGCACTTGCAAAACTTGACTGCTCACTGAAAAAACACTACAAATATGCCAATGCAGACTAGGTATCAAAGGCATGTTTGATTTGTCAGGATTTCTGTAACTAATACCTGTGTAGTAATTAATCATCCCCCCCCCAAATGTTTCTTGTGCAGGAGGGCGTTCGTATGGAAGAAATAGTTGAAGGCTGCACTGGAGCCCTTCATATTCTGGCTAGAGATGTCCACAATCGAATTGTAATTAGGGGTCTAAACACCATTCCACTATTTGTGCAGGTAGGTAAAGTTTCTGAGCAAGAAAATACTTGGAAGAGTTGTGATCTTATGGAAGAGTGCGGGAAACAATTTTTAGAAACTGCCCAGTTATTTTCTAGCTGCAGTCTTATCTGAGCACAGTATTGGCAGAGTTTTGGTCAATATACCATATATTTGCATAGAAATAAATAATTTGGCATTGTGTGCAGAATTTGGCTTCTGCCAAATGTGGTTGAAAATGTGATGGTATGGTGCCCAAGAGTCTATAAAACTGAGGAGGGTCACTACATTCATGTAGTAATGTGCCCACTGCCCAGAAAAATAGGGGCTGGGTATTTACCTTTGCTCACTTTCAGGACCATCAGACTCGCTGTAAAAAATAAATAAGGGAAGGCATCTGGTCCAATTAGTTGAGGTGTCAGTGGCCTTGGAACCCAGCTTGTACCAGACATCACACGTGCACTGAATTCAGGATCTCATCCTCATTAGTGAAAGTTGAATTTCTCACCAGAAAGTAGTGTTTGATTACCTAGAGGCCTACAGGAGCCAAACTTTGGTCAAGGCCTAAAGAAGGTTTTTCTTGACAATGCTTGTAGTTTGTGCTCAAACAGCATACTTTACAATGTCTGTCCTACTTGATGTTTTCCTTCTAGCTGTTGTATTCCCCTATCGAGAACATCCAGAGAGTGGCTGCAGGTGTACTGTGTGAATTGGCTCAGGACAAAGAAGCAGCGGAGGCAATTGAAGCAGAGGGAGCTACAGCACCACTGACGGAACTTCTTCATTCTAGGAATGAGGGTGTGGGTAAGTGGAGGAAGAGAGAATTGGGCTTGGTGGTATTTGGATTCCTCTGCTAAAACTCCCTTCTCCTTGAACAGCGACATACGCAGCTGCAGTGTTGTTTAGGATGTCCGAAGATAAACCACAAGATTATAAGAAACGGCTTTCGGTCGAACTGACGAGCTCCCTCTTCAGGACTGAACCAATGGCTTGGAATGAGGTCAGTTAAACAGCTAGATACACAGCTAACAGTATTCCTTTAATCATGGAGTTGAAAGGGACCCCGAGGGTCATCTAGTTCAACCCCTGCAGTGCAAGAATCCTGTCCCTAGGTGGGCTCGAACCACCAACCTCCTGGTTAACAGCCAGACACGCTGGCCCATGGCACCATATGCCCGCAAACAATAACATTAAGCTTGGGCTTTTGCAGTGGGTTTCGGAGCAGTTTTCAAATAAAAGCCATTAGTTCTGTTCCTAAACTTTTCTGTGATGTGAGTGAGCCTTTGGATTCCTAAATGCTGTTCAGTGTTGCTAGATCACTAATGGACATGGGTGGCGCTGTGGGTTAAACCACAGAGCCTAGGGCTTGCTGATCAGAAGGTCAGCGGTTCAAATCTCCGCAACGGGGTGAACTCCTGTCGTTCGGTCCCTGCTCCTGTCCACCTAGCAGTTTGAAAGCACATCAAAGTGCAAGTAGACAAATAGGTACCACTCCGGCAGGAAGGTAAACGGCGTTTCTGTGCACTGCTCTGGTTTTGCCAGAAGCGGCTTGGTCATGCTGGCCACATGACCCGGAAGCTGTACGCTGGTTCCCTCAGCCAGTAAAGCAAGATGAGCGCCACAACCCCAGAGACATCCGCGACTGGACCTAAGGGTCAGGGGTCGCTTTACCTTTTTAATGGCAAATTAACGGAAACCATATAATGTTCCTATTAAACACCTGATTGTTGCATACACTAGAAGAAGTCTCCCAATATTAAAGTTTCTATTAATGAGACTATTGCAGGGGACTCAGCCTTGGTATGGCAACTTGGTCTGCTTCATATGTGCTAGCTACATAGAAAAATAGCTGGAGCTGACTGGTGTGTACTTCTAACCAAATCAGTGCAGGCATATATAACATTAAGTAACTCTTGGAACAAATTCATAGATGATGGGTGCTTCTGGAATTAATTTCCTGCCTCTGCTGAGAGACTTAATTCTTTGCATATTCCCTACAGACTGCAGATCTGGGACTTGATATTGGTGCCCAAGGAGAACCTCTTGGCTATCGCCCAGATGGTATGTATCAATTGCAGTAAAGCCAAATCTACTCAGAATGCCTTTAATGAAGAACTGCAAACACATTAAGATGGTAGCATCTTAACCGAACCTTTGTTATTTGCGCTGTTCCGTGGAACAATGCCACTCAAAACACGTGTTGAGCAGCCTCTGTGTGAGAGCACCTCACCAAGTCATTCTAGATCAATTGCCTCATATTCAGATGCTACGAAAGTTCCCTGATGTAAAGCGTTTTTGTATATAAAAATGTGCCGGTTGTGTAAATATAGACACATCATCTGTTTTATGGGCAGGTAAAAGCAAGCTATAAGCGTTTCTAGTTGCATATTTAAAAGTCTGCATTTCAGTTGTGTGCACTGTAATAGTATTGCTGTTCTGGGTTTTCAGCAGTATGCAGACTAATGGCTTGGCTGGAATTTGCTTTATGCTTCTGATAGTAGCATGCTAATGACTTGCCATTTTGTCCATACAACTTCCGGGCTAGAAAATGTGACTTCAGTGTGGCTGGGTTGTGGAATCTCACCCGCTGATGTTTGGAGCTTCTGGTGCGCCTAACATGTTAACCTGCTTTTCCCCCCCTTCTCCCCTCTGCCATCCTTAACTTTCTTAGATCCTAGCTACCGTTCTTTCCACTCTGGAGGATACGGTCAGGATGCCTTGGGTATGGACCCAATGATGGAACATGACATGGGGGGCCACCACCCTGGTGCTGACTACCCAGTTGATGGGCTGCCAGATCTAGGACATGCCCAGGACCTTATGGATGGGCTGCCTCCAGGTGACAGTAATCAGTTGGCCTGGTTCGATACTGACCTGTAAATCGTCCTTTAGGTAAGAAGCTCCACCTACCTACCAATCTGAGAATTTGGCTGGCAGGGAGGGAACGGCTTTGGGTTGGTTCGTGTCGGTCACAGACGCGCGTTTCAAAATTGCAGTGTTTGCTTTCAACCTGACTCATGATTACGGTCTGCCAGAGTGATTTACTTAGGTGTGTCATGATGCAGTTCTAACCTGAGTAACCATTCCTGTTGTTTAACCCTGATTTATTTTTTTCCCTCCTACACAGCTGTATTGCCTGAATGATCTTGCATTGTGATTGGCCTGTAGAGTTGCTGAGAGGGCTCGAGGGGTGGGCTAGTATCTCAGAAAGTGCCTGACACACTAACCAAGCTGAGTTTCCTATGGGAACAACTGAAGTAAACTTTTTGTTCTGGTCCTTTTGGTCGAGGAGTAACAAATGGATTTGGAGAGTGACTCACGAAACGAAGAATGCACAAGAATGAATATCACAAGATGGAATTTATCAAACACTAGCCTTGCTTGTTTAAAACTTTTTTTTAATTTTTAAATCTCTTGTAATGGTACTGACCTTGCTTGCTTTTAAAGTAGTTTTCTTTTTTGCAGTAACTGTAGGGTTTCTAAGTCTCTGTGTTTTTAAGTTATAGTGAACCTGCTACAGCAATTTCTGATTTTTAAGGATCGAGTAATGGTGTAGAACACTAATTCATAATCACTCTAATCGTATTCTGAAAAGTGTAACATTGTGTAGCCTTTTTGTATAAAAATTAGACAAATAGAAATGGTCCAATTAGTTTCCTTTTTAATATGCTTAAAATAAGCAGGTGGATCTATTTCATGTTTTTGATCAAAAACTTATCTGGAGATGTCTGGGTAGAGGCCAGTAAGAACTGTTGTATGGAACCTTGTATTGGACAGTTTACCAGTTGCCTTTTATCCAAAGTTATTGTAGCCTGCTGTGATACAGATGCTTCATGAGAACAGTTATACAAATGGTTCAAAATTAAGTAAACTTTTAAATTCACTTTGCTGTGTTATTTCAGTTATTCTCTATGAACGAATTTTGGTGAAATGCAAAATGCTAGGGTGGGAGGTATGAACTTCCATCTTTTGATATTTTCATGTAATGCCATTTGCAGTGCAATCCTGTGCCTTGGTAAATACCACGTGCTCAAAGGGGTTTTTACTTCCTACTAAGTTTGTCCAGGATTATAGATGCATTACAGGATCTTAACATTTCTAATCTCAGATAAAATGTAACTGAGAAGGTTTATAGATGCAGAAAGGTATTGGTAGAATCATAAAAAGCAACATTTCAGAAATTGCCACTTTGAAGTTGGCCATATTCCTCTTTGAGTATTATTCCAGGTTTGTTACAAAATCCAGAAAACATCCATCTAATACAGTATCTATGGCAAGGGATACAGAGATAGGCAACTTCCGATTTTTAAAGGTCAAAAATAGCATCTTGGATTCACTTTGTAACCAGTGAGTAATGTTTCCTTATGTGTTGGCAAATTAGGAAACATCTCTCATTAATTTCATATATAGAGACTGGGATAACAATACCTACGTAAAAGGCCTTCAGTAGGTGTGCCAAAAGGTCAGTAGACAGTGCCTATCTGATAAGTAACAAGCCACTCACAGTTCCTCCCATCTTGAGCATAAGTTTCCTGGGGGGAAAAGAGCTTTTAAATTGACTTGTGTTTGAGCAAAGATCATTGTGTAACATTACTAATGGAAACACATGCAAATTTAAAATTATACAGGATTTGGCTTAACTGGTAGTGATTGTACATTGTTATGCTGCCAGGATATCTGTTGGCTGCCTACTTTCTTTATTACCAACACACCATTAACTTGCTTCGTTTTCTAAATGGCTTGATTAAACGGTTGAAGCTAAGGGGAAATGTGTAGGCAGAAGGGCTGCTAGGTAAGCCGTTTTTTTTAAAACTGTACCCATCTTCTAATACTCCTAGCGCCCCTCTAGTATGACTAATGAAAACGAAGTTTGGAGCTAGGCAACTGCAGGGGTGCATTATTCCTGTTCCTCCCCCACTTGCAATAGTCCCTTATATTTGGAACAGCAAAAGACACAAGACTCTTCAACAATCTCATATTTTGTGCTCTCGGCAGAAAGGTAGGAGAGCTAACGCTGTTGTCTATGTGAGCATTTGGTGAGAAAAGATGGTTCTGCAATTAATGGGGCTCATTATATTACACACATAAAACAGGTGGGTTTTAAAATATTTCAGTTGAACCTAGATATAATTCAGAGCCATGGAAGCTGATTCCAGTTACTCATCACAGCCTTTAGAAAAAAGACAAATGATAGCGTAAATAAAAATTCTCATTACTCTCACTTAAACAATTTCTAAAGCAACAACTGTCTTAGCTGAATGAGCCTTGATAGTGTTCAATTTTCTTGAGGATTTCATTTGCCAAGGAAGCAATTGCCATATCAGCGTGGAAGCTAAAAAAGGGAAGAGGGAAGCCAGTTTAGCATCATACAGCAAGAGGAATGACAGAGAACTACGAGCAGGTTTCATTCCATATACCATCTTGACCCACAGCTGCCACATTATCTGTTAAAGAAATTTTCCTGCCTTTAAAAAGCCATTGTCCCTCTGCAAAATTGTTTCAGTGCTCTAAAATCTAGGCAGAACGATTTGCTCTTTTCCTGGTGAGCTCATGTAGCATAATAAGCATAATGTAGTTACAGCATTTGGCCGAGCAGCCTAGAGTGATTCTTATGTCAGTTGCAACACACATTAACTGGCAGCTAACCCAGGGAAAGTACCTGGTTCTCGTGGAAGAGAAAAGAGAATTTGGGGTGGGTAGGGGGAGAGAGGCATAAAAGCAGGAAAAAAGACAGGGTCTGCCTACTGTGCCTCACTTAACACTTTTGATACTCAAGTGGAAAACTAGCAGAAAATGGATGTAGTAACAATGACAACCCTCCCCACCCTGACCAAAAATGGAAAAAAGGCATCAAAAGTGGGATGGGACTGATGTTTAGGGTAAGGATTAGGAGAAAGCATTGGTTCCCCATAGGCTTCTTCAGCAGCTCTGCCTAGAAATCATCCCCTAAAATGTAAACATTCAGTCAATGTACTTTGTACAAACCTAATATCCACATAATGTAATCTGCGGGCAACCCAGTCAGATGAATGCAGTGCAAAAAATAAAATTAGATGATTATTCTTAATGCTGAGATGGAAAACCTGTGGCCCTCCAGTTGTTGCTACAACCCTCACAATGCTTAACCATTGGCAATAGTTGCTGGGACCGGTGGGAATTAAGTCCCCGACAGTTGCCCACCCCCTGACCTACATAATCCACACAAATTACGTAGTTTGAAAATGTGTTGCCAATAACTTGAGTCAGTAACTACTCATGTAATAGAGGAATGCAGGCAAATGGCTTAGCTGAAAAGGCAAGTCAGCTTAGATCAAAGTTGGGGTGCTGCCTGCTTTTTAGATGCATGGTCTTCAGGCATAAGCAGGAATCAAACCATACTTGCACAACATTTTTAAAAACAGCAAGAGGCTATTTAATTAACACCTAGAGCACAGATGAAGGGCACTATAAAAAAACAAGGGAAGAGACTACAATCCAATGAACTACATGCATGTACATGCAGGGAGGGAAAAACAAGGCAGAAGGTAAAAAGGTACCAAAAGCACTTCAAAAAGATTTTTCTACAGAGAAAAAGAACTGCCTATCTGCAGTAGAGACAGGGCAGCTCTGGAGGGAGGGGCAAGAAGAAAGAGCCCTGTTTATCTAAACCAAAGAGGTTTTGCTTCATAAGGCCTTGATACAGAATCCTAAAAAGCCAATGTTCATTGGAATTAAGTGCTCTTTGAAAAAAAATTATTGGCTACTTAGCCACAAGAGAAACTAGAATTACTAGTCATGGGGAAGCACTGCGGCCTCCTATCAGGAGGTGCAGCGCCACACGTCTTGCTGGTTCATTGTGTACCAGATGAGCAATGCAACAGGGAATGACTCAAAGTGGTGCCTTGCCCAAGGCCGCCAAGAAGTTCATGACTAAGCAGAGATTTTCTTTAATCAATGTATTAAATCTATATCCCACCCTAAGGCAAACACAGTGGGTAACATGCTTTAAAGACGGGTAGAAACTGTAAAGATGTTTTTAATAATGAGGTGCAGTAAACTGAGATTCTCATTTTACAGACAGGAAACTGGGGCAAAGAGAATGTGACACGCCTAAGTCATGACTCCACTAAGATCTGAGCACATGTCCACTGCCAATACCCAGTTAACAGCCATTTCTCTGAAAATCAGAGTAAACATTTTGTTGAAACTAAGGGAAATGAGATATACATAATGAGCTATGCCACAATTAGGTTATTAGGGTTAGGGATTAGGGATGGAGGAGGAATCAATCTGAAACAGCTTATGTCCAAGCCACTTCCTTTTTCCTCCCCACAAATGGGCAACAATTCTATATTACAAAAATACATACAATACGGATAAAGGAGTCGAGGCCCACGTGTTAGTATAGCACAGTTTCAGAAGTATTAGTACAAGTATTGGTATGGAGGTTTTCAGATAATATCCCTAATTAGAATCCACACACTTAATCTTCTGGAATATGTCATTCAGCTGGATCCTACGGCAACGACCCCGGCAGAATCAGACTTAGGTGTCCTCCCACAAGGAAGGGAACATTTAGCTCAGCCAAGCAGGCGCCAGGACTTGGCTCCTGCTCTGCTGTGGGCTCAGCAGCTGCCATGCCTTACTGCAGTGACAGTGGCTGGCAGTAACTACTGTGGCAAAGAGTGGCTGGCTTAACTAGCAGCAATCCTAAAAGCAAGCACTGGGGGTTGGTGGTTGTGTGCTGCCAGGAGGAGTTAGGATTTACCTGCTGTGGAATCTGCTTGCATTAGCAGATCTGTATGACGGGGAACTATCAGGGACATCCAGGTCTTCACATATTTACTTTGCAAGAAGACACACCATTCTGTGTACCGCAAAGGATTTAAAGACCCCCTGCTGCCATTGGTCTCAAAGAAGGCAAAGGCAGCATGCAGGACTCTCAGACTAGTATGGGGGTATGCGGTGCAATGTTGGAAGGGAAATAAAGGAAAGGAAATGTGCCACATAGCTCTGGTCTGCCACATCAGAGGATCCAAAGAAAAGTAGCTGAGAGAGAAAGCTAGAAAGCTTTGAATGAAAGGAATTTTGATGGTAGTATTGTGTAGGAGGGGGTGGGCTGGTAATACAAGAAGCTTGTAGTGCGGGAGGTGATTGCAGACAGATGAAAGGGGAGGAATGTACACACAGCCTGGAAATTCCAGGAAGCCTAAGGGGAACTCACCTGGCAGTCTGGGCCAATCTTTCTAGTGTGCGAACAAGCATTTCTCCATCATTCTTCAGGCTTTCAGAGTGCTTCTCATTTGAAGTTATCTGCAATCAAAAGAACAGCTATCAAAGGTTTAGAAAGACATTCTTCTCTGTCAGGTGCGGAGGAGAAACAACTTAGTTAAGTGGAACTCTGGATTAACAAGCCAAACAGCCAATTATCCTGGCACAATGGGAGAACAACCTTCTTCCTATTGCTCCACCACAGTCATAGAAGCCATAGAATTCTTTGCAGAGTTGCTGCTCTGCCCACAGCTGAACTAGCAATGCTACTGGGAAGAGCAATATGACAGGAGAATTCAGACCTTAAATTCTTGTATGTCTTCAAGGCTGGATAAAGGTGGTTGGAGACCGAATGCAATTCCCAAAACAATAGCAACACAAAATTTGCATATTGATGGTGGTGACGATGATAATAATAATAAATAGTGGTTGTTGTTGGCATTTGTCTCAAGAGACAATGGAGTGTGACTCCAGTCAAAGCACTGCGTTAGCAGCACCAAAGTGACCTCCTTGGGGCGCAAACATGGGCAGTGTGTCTGATGGTCTTGGGCTGCCCAGAAGAAAAGAACCCCCACTTTGCCTCGCTGATGTGGCCCAAAGGAAAGCAGAGATGTTTGGCTGCAGGGCTTGACAAAAGGAGGCATGCAAGGAAAGAATCCAACCATCTTAGGGACTCCGAGATTTATGTAGTGTTTACTCCTTAGCCTTTTCTTTTTCTAAAGATACCATGCAAGGAAGTGGAGGTTTCTAGATGTGCTACTTTCCCTTGGTTGATGAGCCCCACCTGCCCCTAAATATGTATTATTATTATTATTATTATTATTATTATTATTATTATTATTATTATTATTATTATTATTATTTCTATCCTGCCTTTTTCCCTGACAGGCACTTAATACAACACACAACAGCCTGAATTAATTAGCCTCTTTATTTCACAAAAGTGACCCAAAGCAACTTATAAAAATAGGATCCCCCTTCCCCCAGACCCAGAAAGGAAAACACAAATAATATACTACAGAATAACTTGTGGTATCTTAAAGACTAATAAATTTACTTTGATATATGCTTACATGGACTACGAAAAAAGCTTTCAGCCTGTAGTTTCACAACTGAGCAAAACACACACCTCTGCTCCCCCCCCCGCAACCGCTAAATGGAAAGAAAATACTCTGAGCATGTATAGCTTCATATTTTAAACTCGGGGAATTATTGCTTTTGCTCACCAATTCTCAGACTAACCTACCTCACGTGCCTATTGTGAAGATGCAGAGGAAGATGGGAAATGGCTACAGAAGAGGACTTGCTTGTTGCATCCGAGGCATCTCTGTATTACAAAGGGCCGTGTTTTTCTGCCTGCCCCCCTGCAAATTGCTACAGCTCCAAGGCATCAACAAATCCCCATGTGGCCTAACTGCTGCGTGTTTAAGATGCCTAAGTCCAGGGCTTTTTTTTTCAGCTGGAACCCACCAGAACTCAGTTCTGACACCTCTCTGGTGGCTGCCATTGCCATTATAAAAGAGAACAAGGGAGGCGTTCATGGTGAGTTCCAGGACCTCTTTTTATAGAAAAATAGCACCAAGTCCCACAGGGGATTGATACCTAAGAGAAGGTATCTTAGTCCTGTAGTCACTGGAGATAGGATACCACAGAAAAAGAGGGGGAAATAGCAGCTCTTTAGGATCACAGCGATCCCTATAGCCTGGTGTTCAAACTTGTCAAAATGGCCAAGAAAAACCTACGGGAAATTAAACTTCAGGGCACAATTTTGATGGTGGGAAAATGTTAGAAGATGTCCAACGAAGTATCGGAGTATCACATGATTACCATCTCATGCCATTAAAATGAATGAGGGATGTGTAGAAACCTCGGCAAGTTGGGACTGGCGATAGCTGACCTGTAAATCTTGTACATCAGTTGCATATTCCTTTTATTTCTTAATATGTTGTGTTTTTATATTGTAAACCACCTTGTGATCCTCGGATGAAGGGCAGTATAGAAATTTAATAAATAACTAACATAAAAATTTGGGTCTACGTTATTAAAGTGTTACAGTGATGTGACTGTTTCAATGTTCTTAGGAAGTAAATCACATTACCTGAAAGAGTAGTTAGCAACTTTCACTGTGATCAATGAACTGACACAAAAGCCAACCCCTTTCATATTCCAGAGAAGCTCCCCCAAATTACACTGGCGAGTTATCAAAAAATGAATAGCGTTACTAATGGAAAGCAAAGCAAACACAAACACTTCACCTTGAATTGAATTATAACACATCATGGAGCTTCTACATGCATGAAGGTATACTTCTTCCACACAATGCACATCTGTGTTAGTGTCTATCTACTGCGCACAAATGCTCTCTCAATAGTGCACTTGAATAAGGCATCTACATCATATGTATGAGTACCCTGTGTGCATTGAAGCTGTTGTGAATACAAGCACAGAATTATGAGAGTTCTTTGAGAGTGTCAACAAGCAAAGAGATACGAGGTGATCCAGATGGCATTGCATACTTAGGTTTTCAGAAGGCTTTTTGACAAAGTACCACACCAGACACCTGAATAAGCTTAGCACTCATGGAATAAAATGATAGGTCCACTTGTGGATCAGTAATTGGTTAAAAGACAGGAAACAGAGATCAGGAATAAACAGACAGTTCTGCAGATGTAGAGATGTATAAAATGGAGTCCTCAGTGACTGGTACAGGGACATGTGCTTTTTAATTTATTCATAAATGATCTAGAGTTAGGGTAAGAGCAAAGTTTGCAGATGATACCAAGTTGCCTGGGATAGTTAAAACAAAAAGGGATTGCAAAGAGATTAAAAGCATCTCTCCAAACTGAACTGATGGGAAGTAAATTGGCAAATGCAATTCAGTGTAAGCAAGTGTAAAGTGACGCATATTGAGACAAACAAACAAACAAAAATCATCTAAATGTCACATATACACACTAATGAGGTCTGAACTGGCAGTGGCCAGGAGTTATAGTGGATACTCAATGAAGATGTTGACTGTGTGTGGCCGCTGTGAAAAAGGTGAATTCCATGTTTAGGGATCATTAGGAAAACGATTCAAAATAAAACTGATCTCATAATGCCATTATACATATCTATTCACATGGAACACTGCAAACAGATTTGGTTGCCTCACCTTAGAAAGGATGTTGCAGTGATGGAAAGGGTTCAGGAAAGGGCAACCAAAATGATGAAGAGGATGGAGCCACTCCACCACAAAGAAAGGCTACAACCTTTTGGCCTTTTTAGTTGAGCACAAAGGTGAGTAAGAAGAAACATGGTACAGGTGTAATGTAATGTAAAAGTGATTATAAATGTTTTTCTCCCCCATTCGTAACACTAGAAGAACTCAGGGATATGAAATGAAACTGAATGTTGGAACGTTCAGGACAAAGAAAAGGAAGTCCTGTATACAGCACATACTGTATTTTTTGCTCTATAAGACTCACTTTTTCCCTCCTAAAAAGTAAGGGGAAATGTGTGTGCGTCTTATGGAGCGAATGCAGGCTGCGCAGCTATCCCAGAAGCCAGAACAGCAAGAGGGATTGCTGCTTTCACTGCGCAGTGATCCCTCTTGCTGTTCTGGCTTCTGAGATTCAGATTTTTTTTTCTTGTTTTCCTCCTCCAAAAACTAGGTGCGTCTTGTGGTCTGGTGGTTTAGAGCAAAAAATACGGTATTTAATGGAAATCATTCCCACAAGAGGTACTGATGGCCATCAGCCTGGGTGGCTTCAGAAGAGGATTAGATAAATTCAGGAGAGATAAGGCTACCACTGGCTACTAGCTACAATGGCTAGGTTCTACCTCTACCACCAGAGGCAGTAAACCAGTTTTAATACCAGTTACTGGAAATCACAGGTGGGGAAAGGGTTGTTGTACTGAGGGCCTACTTTCGGGCTTCCCATAGACATCTGGTTGGCCAAACTGTGAGAACTGCATGCTGGACTGGGTATGTTATTAAGCAGCCTCTGGGTCTATCTTATGTTCTGCTTGGTTTTCAGATGAAAGCATCTTTTAATTATGTGCCTCAACAAGTATTTCATTTGTGCATATTCTCTTACACTTCACATAAAACTTGTAACATCATCTCACCGGTTCAGCTGGAAAAGATTCTAAGACTTTCCCCTAACTTATATCAAGTTATCGTTATGAGGAATAAGCACATGTTGAACTCTTTACAATCACTAACTCTTCCCTTAATTAAATACTTAATTAAATCTTGATGTAGCGTGCATTCATTGCAACTGAATAAGAAATCCAAAACAACTTTTCTTTATGAAGCCAATAAAATGCATTGCAGCTTCCCTGGTTAATACAATTAAACAAAGACGAGTTATAAAGAACATCATTGATATGTAAATATCCAAGTTTCTCAAATATAGCATAAATGTGCAGGTGAAACAGCATTTTAGGAAGAAATTACATTTCACATACAATGAAGAAGAAAAAGAAATTCATGAACAGATCTATGCTATTGTTCTTCTAATCCGTGTGGAGTCAGGTCTATTTACATGGCAGTTTTTGACTGAGTTAATTATTAGAACGAGATTAAGAAATAGTAATCCATATTTTCTAGTTTAAAAGGGAAGAAGAGGGTCTCTGCTTCTCAAGGTTTATGTGTTCATAGTACTGAATTAGTTCCCTCCCCCATTAGTCACAACTTGCAGTTTTCAATTTACAAGAACTTTCAAAATCAATTAACCTGAAGAATGAATTACTTTAATGCTTTTGAAAGGGATGGTTTCCTCCTCTCCTGCCCCACTGCAACTTCAATTAAGTTGGAAGTTTGCTGCCTGGTTTGGAAAACTCTTTGCTACTTGCAAGCTGCTACAAAAGATGCAAAACAGGAGCTTTTTCAACAAAGAGCTTATAGTTTTGCTTGGTCCAACTGCAACTGTAGCCCCCCTTTTAACTGCACTTTAGAGCAATTGTGCAACTGAATAACAATGTCATGTGAAATTAGATGGACTTAACTACTCTCAGGGATAATGACCATTTCCCACAGGGCACTGAAGTCAGATTAC